ATCAGCTCTGTCTGCATGTGGCCTCAGATCTGTTAATCAACCGCTCACTCAGTCAGAGAGAGGGAGTTAGATAGTGAAAAATCACCATATTTTATATGTAATTTTCATTTTTAAATCCTCCAAGGATGTTTACTAGTTTTTTCCTGCCAAAAAGCACCAAAAAGAGCAAAAATTAGGCCTTCTCAAAGGAATCCAGCAAGTGAGGGGTGCCGTCATTAAGCAGGAAATGCAGGGCTCAAACTAGGGCAGGACAACAAGTTGTATTTTCATTACAGCAACGTGTTATACCACTTCAACTCTCCGGCTCTTCAGAGACTTTTGATATATGTATGAGAATGTAAGCTCTTCTACAGTCACTGTCGGATCTCATAAACATCTAAAGAAAACAGGAAAAGTAGGTTAAGAACTGATCATAGTGAAGGAGATATTGGGAGAAATCTAACTTGCTAGATCAATATAATGGTCAACATTTTTTATGTTTAATTTTGTCATCTTGACTTGTGTCTTGGTCAAAATAGGGCTTCTTATCAAGTTACCAAATAGGTTCAGCTGTTCAGGAGAAGATCTGAAATAGACTTTAAGCAAGATCTTAATCATTGATTTGTTCCAAACCTGCAAAGAAAATAATTGTAAATGTTTTTATACACAGAATATATGTATATTTTAGTGGGACCTTATATTTTATATTTATACTCTTATATTTATTCTAGAATATATATACATAAATATTTATCACATTTATTTATTTATTGTCTAGTATTTATTCTAGAATTATTTCAGATTTTACAAAAAAGTTAGGTTGGTAAGATTTTTTTATGTTTCATGCTCATCAAGGCTGCATTTATTTGATTGGAAATACAGCAAAAACCATAAAATATTGTGAAATATCATCACAATTTTAAATAACAGTATTCTATTTGAATATATTTTAAAATGTAATTTATTCCCGTGATGCAAAGTTGAATTTTCAGCATCATTACTGCAGTCTTCAGTGTCACACGATCCTTCAAAAATCATTCTAATATAATTTGCTGAACATTTCTAATTATTATCAATGTTGAAAAAATTTGTGCTGCTTAGGAAATTTTTTTTTTTTTTAAACTTTGATAATTTTTTTCCAGTATTCTTTACTGAATAGAAAATTCAAAAGAACAGCATTTGTTTGAAATGTAGTTTTTGTAACATTATAAATGTCTTTACTGTCATTTCAATTTAATGCATCCTTGCTGAATAAAAATATTAATTTCTTAAAAAATAAAAATAAAAAATCGTACTGACCCCAAACTTTTGAACACTAGTGCATATACAAATTTAATAGTTTTTATAGTTTTACAAAATGTCCAGAATTAATTTTTAAAGGGGTGGTTGATTGCGATTTCACTTTTTTAACATTAGTTAGTGTGTAATGTTGCTGTTTGATCATAAACAGTATCTGCAAATTTACGAAGCTGAAAGTTCAATGCAAACGGAGATTTCGTCTTTTAAAATTCTTGCGGTTTAATGCCTACAAAAATGGCTGGTAGGGACTACAACGAGTTACTTCCTAGGTCTGTTATGACAAGAACCCAGAATTTTACATAAACCCCACCCCCGGGAACACGCAGCAAAGGGGGCGAGGCCATGCTGCACTGCTTTAGAGAAGAGGAAGAGAAAACTTGGGGTGCACGTAAAAATCTATTCATATATGAATTGCGATTCTGTCTTCTAACGATTCTAATGGATTCACAAGTTTCAAAATGTTCTGCACACGCTCTGCATCTCTCTCTTTCTCTCATTCAGATCATCAGCTCAGTGAATACACTTATTTTCACATAATATAGTTATGAGAAGCGTTATACATGGACGCGCGTGCAGTTGCCAAACTGTATTAAAGCTTTAATCAGAATAAAACCGTATATTAAAAGCTAACAGAAGCAGTAGCATTTACAAATAACAGCGTATCTAAAAATATGAGACAACAACAAACAAAAATCTAATTGATAAGCAATATAGACGACGTCATTGTTTAAAATACAACCAGAGCACATGCCGCTATGTTGAGGGGCGGGACGTTTAGGTTTAGCCAATCACAACACACTGGGCCAGCTAATCAATCAGAGCCCATCATGTATTTCTGAGGGAGGGGCTTCATAAAAGCAGGAAATGATCAGCGCGTTCAGAGGAGAAGGAACAGAGCGGTGTGGAATAAAGGTAAATTATGTGAAAAATAATGCGTTTTTTAACAAACGAAGCATTAACACATGTTAAACTGCACCCCATAAACACAATCAAGCCTAGAAAAAAAACCCACCCCTTTAATGTATTTTTCTCTCTTAATTGTTCTGTATTACATTTCTATGATTATTAATTACATGCATTTTACTATATAAATATTTTTTGTTTGTTTGTTTAGTGTTTATTCTCAAAATACATTTCTGTATTTAATTATTATCATAAATATTCCATATTATTTTATTCTATTTATTTATTCACATTTTTGCTAAAACTTCACTGGATGACACCGACCTCTAATTGCGTAGCCGGTCCACTATAGTCTCCTTTAGAACGACTTACTGAAAACTCAAAAAATCTGAGTGAGTGGCATGGCAACCAAGTTTCTCACCCCCATGCAGAGGCAGCGGGGGGGTGGACAAGAGTGACCGGCCCACATTTATCAGTCTGGGATTGAACAGAGTTGCACAGCAGGGGAGAGGCATGCCTTTGTCCCGCGGGTCAGAATAGGGCTAGACTGCATTTGTGAATCATGTAAGTGCGGATATGCAACAGTTTGTCAAAACACCTTTGTGTTAAGGTTACTTCTGTTCCCCCAGCCAACAAAACGCAACTTCCATTTCCTTTCACGAAGGCTGCGGGGCCGTAAAAGATCAAAGCAAACAGAGTTGCCTCTAAGAAAAACTGAAAACTTATTCAAAGCTGTTACTAATTTCACTTTCTCGACTCATAAACCAGTCTTTTTTTTTCATCTAACCTTCTTGCTTTTTTCAGAGCAGGAGGGTCTTTCCATCTTCTGGGAATAAGAACATCTGGGTTTGTGAGAAGTAGAAACCTTTGGAACTGGTCTGCACTTTTCCTGTGTGAGGGGATCGAACTTTTCCTCCCCTTTTTTCATGTCTCTTCCATCGCTCTGCTGGCTGCTCTGCTTCAAGGTAGGACGCGAGAAGCAAACGCAAACAGGCATGATTTTAGTGTCTTTTGTTCTTATCTCCTGCTCTTTATCTGTCTTTCAGGCTCTGTTTGTGTTTTGCTAACGGTTCTTTGTGGTTTTCTTCGGCAGGGGGGTAGTTGAGGGTAAACCTCTGCTGTTCTGTTAGTCTGCACACACTGAAGGAACTACAGGCCAACTGTGGATTCAGCTGTAAGTATGTTATTCTTTCTCTCTCCATCCTCAGTTATGGGTTTTAGACTGATAACACACTGCAAAACAGGATTCAATTAAAATGCAAATCTCACTATTCTTTTTCTTACAGGGTTTTAACACGTTTAACAGTTCTCAACTTTCTCTAAAAGCCTTCTATAAAGTTCTACCAAGAGGTTCAGGCTGTTACTTCTTCATTTGTCTGAACATGTTAGTGTTTTTTAACATCACGAGTGTGCAGTGTTAATGCTGAGTCATGCCGGTTTCAAATATCTAGATGAATTATCGGCGCTCAAAGCTTCTCTCGAATGTCAAAACATTTACATAAACCATTTAGAAAGAGCATGTTTGCACCATGAGGTAAGAGTGAACAGATATGTATGCATTTGTCCTTCAGCCCATTTAAGATTGTATTCAGTGATGAAATGCTCGATGTGGTCAAAACTTTTCGCATGGATCAAACCTTTGGCTGATAGCACCTGTGGTGTGTTTGGATATATAGGAGGCAACAACAGCAACAGTACTGCAGTTCACATGCTCTTTTAATGCTTGATTCCATTTCCAGCACCAAGGCAGCGTGAGGCAGATTAACCCCTTCTTTCCCACATAGTTTTAGTTTAGAGTATAAGTTTAAAAGTCCCATGTAATTAAAAATTGACTTTTGAGGCTTTTAGACTGTGTTAGTAGAGCAATTTTAGTATTATTAATATAATGTTACATTTAGTTATTTATTACTAAATTGATTTAGTTTTTTATGTATATTTTCCATGTTCATTTTAATTTTAGTTTAAGTTTTAGTAATTTTGCTATGTGCTTTGTCATTTTAAGTATGTTTTGTTTTTTTAAATATTTCTGTTTAACTTTCATTTATTTTTATTCTAGTGTTTCATTTTCATTAACAATTTTAGTTTGTCTAGTAATATTGTTATGTGCTTTTGTCATTGTTTAATATTTATATTCAGCTTTATTTATTTGTTTTTATTTTATTCTTTGTAATTTTTCATGTGTTTTTATTTAATTTTTATAAATAAAGCATTTTTATTCGTTTTTGGGTTTATACATTTATTTTTTAGCTTTAATTTATTTTTATTTCAGCTTTTAGTTTTAGTACTTCAACTTCAACTTTTTTTAGTTCAGTTAGTTGCCAATAAAGATTTTTTTTTACTTTTTAATTTAATTTTATGTTTAAGTTTTTTAATCTTTTATATTTTATTTTATTTTATTTCAGCTTTATTTCAATTAACAAAAATAGTTTTAGTTTTATTTAACAATAAAAACACTGCTTTAAGTGTACTCCTACACTGCAAAAAATCCTATTGTTAATGTGCAGTTATATTTATATATATATATTCCAGTTAAAATATTTTAAACAAATAAAAAAAAGAAAACCTTGGTCGTGTCCAAATTTAAACCATTCGTGGGCATGCCCAAATTTCTGACCAGGTCCAATTGGGCAGTTTTAGGTCACCTTTGTAGTCTAATATTGTTCTTAAATATTCATGAATCTAAGATTTGCAGTTTTTAATACTACTTTGTTGGTTTATTTTTCTCATTCCTCATTTTCATGCAGCATACTGTTGGAAATGAGAGCAAGACAGTTCATCTGAGGAGGATAATCTTGGAAACCAAGCAACTGAACAAAAAGATGGGGGTGGACATCTTTGCTTTGACAGTGTTCACCTTGAGTCACCTGTGGCCACATGTTCAAGCTTCAAGTGTAGTTCGGTTAAACACAGGGCTTCGGGTAGCCAGAGGCCAGTCAGTATTTGTCACGGCTGGTGAACTTCAGTTCCACACGGATGGGGTATCTGAGGCCTGTAAAGTCGAAGTAGTGCTCACTGAACCCATCACACAAAGAGTGGGGAAACTCACTCCTCAGGTAACAAAACAAATCCAGAATTAGCTTATGCATTCCATAAAATGTGAGAATAATTCACATGTTCATTTATAATTTTTCAGGTTTTTGACTGCCAGTTCTTTCCAGATGAGGTGAAGTATGTTCACAATGGCAGCCCACTTCTAGAAGAGGACACTGTCATGCTGAGGGTCTACAGGTGAAACATTATGTGGTCATTATTCTTGTCCAGCACCAACACTTTATGGCTGTTACTTCAATTAGGGCTTTTGAGAGCTGCAAAAATCCGATTTCCTTGGCCTAATGTCATTTCCATCCTCACAAATGCTTTGTTCTATGCCTGTTCTTAGGTTTACAGAAACCGAGACTTTTGTTGAGACTGTGCTGCTAAAGGTTCATGTGGTGGAACCTCAAAGGAGCCTCACAGAGCTTGGAAATGTTCCTCTAGTGGTTTCTGAGTTCTACGGCCTTTCCAATGCCATCAATAGCAGTGTCCTTACCTTTAAAAACCAACCCGAAGTGATCTGCACGGTACGTCTTCTCAGCTCTGAGATCAACATCCCAATGCTTGGTCAACTGGTCACTGAGGATCCTGAATCAATGCCGGCTTCTGAGTCTGGACCGAGAAAAGGTATACCAAGTGTATAATGAAGCTTTTTAAAAGCTTTTGTGCATCAATTAACAGTCACGTGGTAAAACCAACTAAATCATGTGGTGCAACCAAGGTGTAGAAAAGAAACAGGACCTTCATGACTGGGTGTTAAGGTCAATAAGTCTCTTAAAATATAAAATAATTTGACCTTTTTATGACAAGGCAAATTTAGTACACATTGTAAAATGTCATGAGGTACAACACCCTTAAAACATTATTGTTATGAATTAATTCATTATATAACTTTTTACCTTGGAAAAAATTGATTCAAATTTTTTTTTTTAAATGTAGGCTATAGAGAAATAATGTAATGTGGTGTGTCACCCTAAAAACATAATTTTTATGAATTCATTATATTTGTAAAACATATTTTTTACCTTGGAAAAAGTAGATTTAAAAACTTTTATGAAAACGATTATAATGTATACGGATATAATGTCATGTGCTGTGACACCCCTGAAAAAAATTAAAAATAGTTTTTAAAACTTTTTTGAAAATAATGGTTACACCACATGACTTTTTTTCTTGAATGTGGAGTAATTAAAAAAAAATGAATGCAAAGAATATATTTCAAAGAATTTCTCATCTGCATTCAAACTTTTCAAGGACGTCATACTGGAATCACCTGCCCAGGAAATAAAGTCTGTGACCACAACACAAGAGAAGTAGAGTTCTTGAAGACAGACTGCGCCGAGTTCCTCACTTCAGGACTGAAGTACCAGCACCTCAGTCCTCCATCACCTGAGATAGATTATATCCCAATCAGGGTGGAGTTTAGGGACCTGACCTCCCGAGCCATGCTGGAGGTAAAACACATCAGAATCAGTTTGTATGAAAATATAACACAAGCCACTGAATCCTTTCTTTCCTTTCCTTTCTCTTAGACTGAGAGTATCTGGATACCTGTACTGATCCAGGGGGCCATGCAGAACCAACCCCCCAGTGCTGCCTTCATGTCTACATTCATCCTGGAGGTAGATCAGTTCATCCTCACACCCATGACCACTGCTGAGACCTTGCTGGAGGTAAAACACATCAGAATCAGTTTGTATGAAAATATAACACAAGCCACTGAATCCTTTCTTTCCTTTCTTTCTCTTAGACTGAGAGTATCTGGATACCTGTACTGATCCAGGGGGCCATGCAGAATCAACCCCCCAGTGCTGCCTTCATGTCTACATTCATCCTGGAGGTAGATCAGTTCATCCTCACACCCATGACCACTGCTGCCCTGGATGCAAAAGATGACGAGACCCCTCAGGCCCGGCTGATCTTCAATGTGACCAAACCTCCAGCGGAGGGATATATAACTCATTTGGATGATCACACCAAAACTGCATTCTCCTTCTCCTGGCAAGACCTGAATGAGATGAAAATTGCCTATCAGCCCCCAAACAGCAGTCACACAGCCAGGAGGAACTATGAGGTTAGTGAGTGCCTATAAATTGTTGTGCTCGGTGTACATGTTACAGGCAATAACATTTTTACAGGCAAATGTTTTTTTTCCTTATCCAAAAACCATGTCTATTAGTCTAGCCCAGGGGTTTTCAAACTTTTTGATGGCATGGACCTCTAAACAGCATTGTCTCTATATCTCTATCCTTAAATTTAAAGGCAGATATATATATATATATATATATATAGATACATACATACATACATATTATTATTATTATTAAAAATATATTATATAAATACCCATTTATACCAGAATTGTTATTGTTAACTGAAACTGTTAAAAGTCATTTTCATTAACTGAAATTAAAATAAAATATTAAATTAAAAACTTGGCAACAAACTGAAATAAAAGTTCTAAAATTACTAAAACTAAAACTGGAATAAAATACATTAAAGCTGAATAGAAAATTATAATATAATAATAATAATAATAATAAAAATGGGAGCACATAACAAAATCACTCAAACTTAAACTAAACTTAATGCTAATTCTAATTATTAGTGAATACTATAATAGTAAGTAAATAATACTAAAATAACACTGTTTTATATTGTGGAAAAGATTATTATAAATGTGTATATAATATACATTCATAATATTATAAATGTGTAAAAAGTATTTTTAAAGTAATTACTGTCTTGTGCACTGTATTTTTTTTATTGTTGTTGTTTGTTTCTTATCTGTGAAAATAATTAAATAATTAGTATTTAATGTGACTTCCAACCAGTGCTTGGAAAGAAAAATTATGTGTAATATTTTATAAAAAATAATGTCAAATTTAATAAAATTTAACTTTTTATATTGTTTTTTACTTCATCTGTTGTCCAGGTGGAGTTTCAGGCCATCGATGGCTCATTTGTGCCGAGTCCTCCTATCTTAATGCACATCTCTATCCGCACTGCAGAGACCAATGCTCCTCGAGTCTCATGGAACATGGGTAAGTTAGCGGATTAACTAAAATAGATAATTTTTTTAATGAGAGACTGAGGCTAAACATCTCTATTCTTACAGGGTTGGATCTGCTGGAAGGCCAATCCAGACCAATCACATGGGAGCGCCTACAGGTTGTTGATAATGACAACATAGATGCCGTCACCCTTATAGCTATGGACGGCCCACTTAATGGACACTTAAGTGTTAGAGGTAAAGGATTCTAATCAGCCACCTCTCTGAAAGTAGAAACCAATCCAAATGTAATTTCCAAGACCTTTTTCCACTGATGAGTCATAGTCTCATAAAGTGAAACCTACTCTTTTATTCCTTCTCCATCCATGTGGTAACCATCCTTAATGTGGGCATCATTCATGAAACATATGTCCGGGTGCCCTGCATGGGTTTGCTAATCAGGTGCAAAATGCTTTGGCGACACTTTGCCAGGGGCCGTCGACCAAAGATGTCTTTAGAGCCGTAGCGGCTGTCTTTCCACTCCAGCAGACTTTTGTTTGCACAGACCCTGAAAGAAGGCTTATGGCATTTCATGCCAGATGTCCAACACAAGGTCATTTCTCTTCCATCAGATGATTATCTTAGCAAGCTTTGAGAACTAGTGACAATCATGTGTCTATCTGAAAAGTTTTATCCATTGGAATATTCCAAAGTAAGAAATTAATGGGATAGTTCACCCAAAAAGACAATCAAACATTTTTGGAATAACATGAGGTTAAGCAAATGATGACAGAATTTAAATTTTTGGGTAAACTATTCTTTTAGTTCTTGGTTTCTTTGAAGGAAAGGCAGAATTGTGATTTCAGGGACTGAATGGGATGTTTTGCTGCATGCATTCTCCCATGGAAGCTGCAGTAGGTTGTTTTTGTGTTTCCTGGTTTGGAGGATTTCCAGGCCCATGGCCCCGTTCCTTGTCTCATTTTCTGACAGAAGACCACCTGATCAGCAGAAGCCTCCAGCCTACTCAAACAACAGCTCCTGCTTTTAGCCAAACCCTTCATTTAATTGGTGTTTACGTTTTTGAGGTTGACGTGTCGCTTTGTGATCCCTCTTGCTGAGAGCAGAATCGTCCCATAACATTGGCACCAAATCCGCTTCAAAAGCACCTCATTTTACTACAGGATGATTGAGCTAAACAGCAAGTTCTGGTCTAGAATGGACCGGTCTCTCTTGAAAACCTAGATGGGGATTGGGAATTGCTCACGTAGACCTCAAACGCAGGGACTCCGACCCTTGGGATAGTCCTCAGTCAGCCTTCGGCCAAATGGAAAGCTGCCGCCCAATGTCCTCTTCCGTCGAGTATCTATATGGAGACTGTTTTTTTGGGCCAGCTGCCCACAGCCACCTTTGGGCCCAATTACGTACTTGTTTCTCCATTGGACTCGTGGCCATTTCCCCCTGATAAAGTTGCTAATTAGGTTTGCTGTGCAACCAGTCATCATTCAATCTGTCTGGTGACCTTGCCTTTCTGTCTCCTTGGCAAGCAGGTGAAGCTCAGCTTCACGGTGGGCAGCAGCCATTGCCTGGGAAGGACGCCATCTTTCTTTTTATTTTTCCGCAATGGGGAGAAGCCAGAGCCAATGTTTGTGCCTTCAGGCGAAAAAACAAACTTATTTTTCACAACTGCATCGAGCCAAATGAATGATATTGAAAATGATTGTGTAGATGGGTGTGAAAATGTTTTCACATTATGTTGACTACTTGACTTAAAGGGATTATTCACCCGAAAGCTGTTTTTGACCATACAATGAACATCAGTGGGGTCCAAAACAACAACATTGGACCCCAATGACTTTCATTCTATGGACTAAAAAAAACAAAAATTTTTTGTATTTCACAGAAGAAAGAAAGTCTTACAGGTTTGGAATGGCATGAGAGTGAGTAAATGATGCCAGAGTTTTCATTTTGGGGTGAACTATCCCTTTAACTTGACCTGGAATTTCATTCATCAAACATTAAAACAGACTAAACCCATATTCTGTAACCAATCCTTTCTTATTCATCCAAAGGTGGAAAAGGTTTCATGTTTAAGGTCAAGGATCTCAGAGAGGCCGTCGTGGTCTATCATCACTCGGACAGCGACACCACCAGGGATTACATTGTCTTCCGAATCACAGATGGCCACCACAGCATCAGACACAAATTCCCCATCTACGTTCTTCCAAAAGATGACACCCCTCCTTTTCTAATCAATAACGTGGTCTTTGAGGTTCAGGAAGGTGGCACAGTTAGGGTGGAGGAGTACATGCTGATGGCCTCAGACTTGGACTCCAGCGACGACTACATTCAGTATCAGCTGATTACTTTTCCCAGAGCAGGAAAGCTGGTTAAGAAGTCCTCTCCACATGAACCAGGTCAGATGGATTTAATAGGTTATATTAAGATTTTTAACTCATCTGAGGTGCCTTACATTATATGGTGTCATGTCAACCAGGTGTTCCAGTGAAGAGCTTCTTGCAGAGGGACCTGTTTCAAGGTCTAATCTACTACAACCACTCAGGGGAGGAAGTGTTTGAGGACTCGTTTGATTTCATCCTCTCAGATATCCAACAGCCTCCGAATCTATCGGACAGACATGTAAATTTGTATCTATTTTCATAATGAATTCTGTTTCAGTGTGATTATTTATAACCAAAATATTCTTTCTGTACCTCTTCATCCATAGACTGTGGTGATCCATGTGTTTCCAGTGAAGGACCAGTTGCCTGAGGAAGTTTCCGGAACGGTTCGCTCCATCACGGTGAAGGAAACCGAGGTTGTTTACATCACTCAGAGCCATCTGCACTTCAGAGATACAGAGCATTCAGATACTGACCTTATGTATGTGATCATTCATCCCTGCTTTAACCTGAGAAATACCAGGTATGCTTATACATTTCCTCGCTATGACAGTAACAATTTTTATTCATTTTTTTAATTATTATTTTTCTTTATAAATATTTAGATTAATATGTAGTAAATAAATGTATATTTAAAAATGTGAAATAAAATACTGATCCAAAAATTAAATAAGTAAACATATTATTTTTATGATTATTATTAAAAAGAAGAAAAAGAAGAATATTGATCCTTTCATGTATATTTAACTTCTGTTGTAAATTCTTGCAGGTTATCAGATGCAGGCAGGCTGTTTTATACTGACAGCACAAACTCCATGAAAAAAGATGCAATGGTTCCAGTGCTTAAGTCCTTTACTCAGGTCTGAAACATGCACACAAATAGGTTTCCTAAATGTTGTACGCTATTGAAATTTGAGTGCAAATAACATGCCTCTTCAGTTAGATATTGTCTTTTTTGTCTTCCACAGCATGCAGTGAATCACCACAAAGTGGTTTACATGCCTCCAATAGAGGATATTGGCCCTGAACCTCTCTTTGTGCAGTTTGTGTTTTCTGTGAGTGACCAGCAGGGCGGTGCTCTCACAGGTCTCACCTTCAACATCACAGTCATACCTGTTGACAACCAGGCCCCAGAAGTAAGTTTTTAATTGGCCATCAAGAAACGATCCAACAAATGATGCCAAGTTTTAAATTAAAAAAATTTATTTAATTTAATTTCCCAAACCTTCTTTCATAGATGTTCACTAACTTGTTGAGGGTCGAGGAAGGTGGTGGGAGTTTCTTGATGGAGGAGCACCTGCTGGTGCAGGATGTGGACAGCTCAGAAGATCAGCTCAGGGTTCACATGAAGACTCATCCCCAACATGGAAGACTGGAGCTGCAGGGCACAGCAATGCTAGAGAGAGACAGCTTCAGTTTGCAGGACCTAAAAGCATTGAGGGTCAGGTATGAATATGAAAAACTGTAGTTAGAGATTATTTTTGTAAGGTTAAAAATTTGGGCTGGAAAATCATGTTTTAAGAAACATTGATGAGGATGATTTTATGATTTGTAAATTACAATAGATACATTCATGATGACTCTGAGACCCTGAAGGATAGCATTGGTCTTACTATCACAGATGGAATCAACTCTGCCTATGGAACGCTTTTAGTTCAGGTAATTTCCTGTTTAAAAAAATAGTATTGATGTTTGGCAAAGGGTATTGTATTTCAGTGCAGCATTCCCTTATTAAAATGCATGTTTCCTTTCCATTTTTTATTAGATCCTGCCTGTGAACGACGAACCCCCACAGTTAGGCTCCGACTTGAGGGCTGAACTGTCCTGCAAAGAGGGGGATCAGGTCCATATTACGGTTGAGTATCTCTCTGCTACAGATGTTGACAGCGAGGACACTCGGCTAACATACATGCTTGCCAGAACACCTGCACGTGGGGTACTGCAGCGAAACGGGGTCACCGTGGACAAGTTCTCCCAGCTGGACATGATAAATGGGCTCATCTTCTACCTGCACACAGGTTATTACCGAGATAGGAGGCTAGTTAGTGAAACTTAATGTCACTTACTGTAGGCCTGTTTTACACATTCTACACCTGTGAGTGGGTGTGTCACACATAGTCTTGTGAAAATATACTGAAAATGCACAATAAAATGGTTTATTAAGAATGACAGGCTTTCCGTCATAATATTAAATAATGTAGAGAAATACCATCAGCTTGATCTAATAAAATTCAGGCTGATACTGATAAATCAAATTATTTAAATAATTATTAATGCTCAATAATGGTCATATGTTTAAGTAAAATATACATTTTTAATATTTTTAATCTTATATTGCATTATATAAGTTATATAATCTTATATAACATTAGTTTAACTTTTAAAGATAAACTATAAGTGAGCATTAGATGACGGCAAAAGTAATCTAAATGTACAAATGAAGAAATGAGCATGCACAATTAAAAGAAACAAGTAATATTGGCTAATATGGTAACAAAAAATGTCTGTCGCAGAAGCAGGATGTATGTAACAGGCAGGCCTCATAGTAAATGTCTTATGACTGAAAGTACATTAAATGTATTTTTTGTGAATTAAATGAACATAAACACATTTCCCCATTCACTAGGTGGTGAGATTGGACCAGATCCTGTCTCAGACACTGTCACTTTCATTGTGTCAGATGGAGAGGCTGGAACAATAGATGGCTGCTGCCAGGAGGATGCTCTCCCCCCACCCGTTCCCCTGCATGGCACGCTTCCGGTCTATGACCTCAACATCACTGTGATGCCTGTCAACAACCAGGTCCCAACCATAACGCTGGGTAAACATCTACCACAGAGCCTGTAGTAAATCTCTTAGTGGAGAAAAGACATTTCGAACACTGGTGCTGCATTGTGTTGAGGGACCGAATGGATTAAAAGATGCTCTCTAATCTAGATTTAATCACCAGAGCATTTGGCTAAGGTGTAATTAATTCATTGTAATGACAATCCGCTTAAATCAAGCAATAAAGCAACTAGGAATTTTCGAGGCAGGTGATGGACTGCAGCTTGGTGAATGAATCACTTAATCGCGGTCTCGCATACCCAGCTCAGGGAGTGTGGCTAATGCAATCATTTCATTCCCCCGAACGTACGTTTCGAAGCAGGGTGTTAGAGACGTCTTGCCAGGATGGGGATTTCACTGTTAATGCCAGAAACTTTGCAGTTATCAATGAAGGACAGTGACCAGAGCAAGACAATGAGCAGAAGACGGCAGCTAGGTGCCAGTGGGACATCCACAGAAAATCCTAGCACGCTTGGCATCGTGTATGAGTGTCCACAGACATACACACAGCTGGTTGGGATTATAGAGAGAGCAGAGCATGTGTGGCAAAAAAGCGCAGTAGAAAGAGATACATCTTCCCGTGAGAACAACTGGACAATGGGGACATAGAGAAGAAGACAATGGACAGGCCTGCATTTGGAAAAGACAACACGTCCATTGTGTCTTCTATCCCTTTGCTCATTCAATCACAATTATAATCTCCTAATTCGGTTAATCCCCATCAGAAAAAAAGAGGATTCTCCAATGTTGCCACCATGTAGTAGATCTGGATTGGTTTGTGAGGAAAAATTGGTTTGTGTCATTTAATTAATTTGCATTGAATAAAGACGGGTTGGCATAAGAGTTTTAAGCACAGGAAAATTAGGGAAATCCAGCTCTTGCCTTGCTACTGGACGAGTTTTATCACTTTTACGCCAGACTGGTGGTCATTAATTCCTCCCCTTAATTCCTCCCCTTGTTTCAGAGCTCTATCCAAGCACAACCTCATCAGTGCCCATTCTTCATTCATTATTTATCAGTGCAGTAAATGGAAGCAGATGCCAGTAAGCATTGGCATGATGGCTTTATCAACACCCAGGTGGCAGCGGGTTGGCCGAGAGCCGAGCGAGAGAGCAGGGGAAGATAGGGAGTGCTAGTGGGGTGGCATAGCAGGCTTGAAGAAAGGGGAGCAAGGGGAACTGCCTGTAAATGAGAGGGAAAAGAAGAAAAATAATGGGATGCACTCTTGAGAAGGAAAAAAAATAAGCATGCTTCTGTGAAGTCACATTTAGCTCTCTAAAATGACATCTCTATGATTAATGCCAATATTACTACTACTAGTTATGGTGTATATTGTTTCGTCAGGTAACATGTTTGTGGTAGATGAGAGAAGACAATGGACAGGCCTGCATTTGGAAAAGACAACACGTCCATTGTGTCTTCTATCCCTTTGCTCATTCAATCACAATTATAATCTCCTAATTCGGTTAATCCCCATCAGAAAAAAAGAGGATTCTCCAATGTTGCTACCATGTAGTAGATCTGGATTGGTTTGTGAGGAAAAATTGGTTTGTGTCATTTAATTAATTTGCATTGAATAAAGACGGGTTGGCATAAGAGTTTTAAGCACAGGAAAATTAGGGAAATCCAACTCTTGCCTTGCTACTGGACGAGTTTTATCACTTTTACGCCAGACTGGTGGTCATTAATTCCTCCCCTTGTTTCAGAGCTCTATCCAAGCACAACCTCATCAGTGCCCATTCTTCATTCATTATTTATCAGTGCAGTAAATGGAAGCAGATGCCAGTAAGCATTGGCATGATGGCTTTATCAACACCCAGGTGGCAGCGGGCTGGCCGAGAGCCGAGCGAGAGAGCAGGGGAAGACAGGGAGTGTTAGTGGGGTGGCATAGCAGGCGTGAGGAAAGAGGGGAGCAAGGGGAACTGCCTGTAAATGAGAGGGAAAAGAAGAAAAATAATGGGATGCACTCTTGAGAAGGAAAAAAAATAAGCATGCTTCTGTGAAGTCACATTTAGCTCTCTAAAATGACATCTCTATGATTAATGCCAATATTACTACTACTAGTTATGGTGTATATTGTTTCGTCAGGTAACATGTTTGTGGTAGATGAGGGTGCCAGTGCATGTCTGTGTGGGGGGGTTTTGAAGGCATCCGATCCTGATAGTCATCCAGACCAGCTCATGTTTCACTTGGTGACCCCGCCACAATATGGGTTCCTGGAGAACACCCTTCCATCCCCTGGCTTTGAGAAAAGCAATGCTGGACTCCGAGTGGGTCAGTAGTATTCCTGTAAATGTACCCAACTATTGTGACTATGCCAAGTAGGGTGTGTTTTTGGATTAACATCTATTGTTGGTCCTGGAACAACATTCCTCTCAAGCAAACATTGTCTTCTAATCCTAAAGCTAAAAGGTGACCTCATTTACATACACTTAAAGGGATATTTTACCCAAAAATGAAAATTGTCATAATTTACTTACCCTCATGTTGTTCCAAAGACTTTCTTTTTCTTTGAAACACAAAAGTTTCATACATTTTTGTTTGCATCCCCACTGACTTTCATTGTATGAACAAAACAGTTAAAAAAACCATTTAGGGGATTAAGAGACAGGATTACAATACTAGCCCTGAGCTACTATCCCTAAAATCCAAGAACATGTCCTACTTGGCAGAATCATTATTTATCTTTTATGTGTCCTGTTTAAATGTCCTATTATAAGACCTTGTCTTTCAGATCGCTAAAGTCATATTGTATAATTAAAGTTTCTTTCAGTCAGCTCCACCTCAGTTCGGGTTTCATCAACTATGTCCAGTCAGTGCACAAGGGTGTAGAGCCTACAGCAGACTTCTTTACCATCACTGTCAGTGATGGGATTCAGAGATCAGCACCATTGCCCTTTTACATCATCATCAACCCTACCAATGATGAGATCCCATCATTGCTGCTTAGCAACTTCACAGTAAGATATAATTTTTGGAGACAAATTTATCCAATAAGCAAACTGTTGCCTAACTATTGTCTTGCCCTGCACCTTGCGATAGGTCATGGAGGGAGGGATGAAAGACCTCAGTCCTGATATTCTAAATGCAGTGGATGGTGATATTCCAGCAGATACTCTTACCATGACCATCCTGGTTCCCCCAGCCCATGGCACACTGGTCAATGACATATATGGTCTCAAGATGAATCACTACAAAAACATGAACCCCGAGGTCCTTCAACGAATCTTAGCAATCCAGTCTTTCACCTTACAGGAGCTACAACAAGGTCAGTTTCTGAATCCATGTGATTGGTAGTACCACAAACCTTTGCCCCCTAACTTCCGGGGTACCACTATCTGCTTGTTGAGGATGGCTGTGAGGACAGAGTCCCTTCCCTGGTCCAGCCACCCCTCAGTGCTTTCACTGTGGGTATCCAGGCTTACAGAACAGATTTTGCAGGAGACAGAGGTCACAGAGTGCCTGTGGTGCTTCTGCTTCATCTGCAAATCTTTCCAAATGCTCTCTGTGAAATTAAGTCACCGTGCATGAGGTACTTTGGTGACTGCACAGCTTTGCTTGTTAACAAGTGACAAAGATCCATAGAAACACGGGTTATCAGGTCACTGACAAAATGGAGCGTGTTCACTAGTGTCCTTCTTGGTAGTAGTGGTAGAACCAGCTATATCAGTCCAAGGCTACCAGGAATCAAGTACCTAATGACTGTTAAATCCTAAATGTCACTAAATGCTTAATCCACTAAAATATTTTTATTTTTTTTTCTCTCGTGCTGATCCATAGGAATGAAGATTATGTATATGCACGACGATACAGAAACCCTCAAGGACGCTTTCACCATACAGTTGACAGATGGTGGGCACACAGTCCAGGGGACTGCGTGTGTCCGCATCATACCAGTCAATGATGAAAAGCCATGGCTACTAAAGTAAGGACACCCTGGGACAAATTCAGAGCCAAAAAGGCGGATGAAAGCGGGAATGGGGGAGGGATTTTAGTGGCGGAGACTGGACAGGAACAGAAGGGGGAGGCTGATCCTGGTTAGGGTTTAGGGAAGGGGGGTCAACACAACCTGTACTGCACATGTGGCTGGGGAATCTGTGTCTCCCTGACTGAGTAACTGGGAATTAAGTTACATCCTTGAGTAAATTGCTAATGTCTATTCCATCCTCTTCCATCAAAATCGGCAAGATCTAAGAGTGTGCATGTAAACTCCACAACAGCAGAAGTAATGTGTATTTTTGGCAGATGCCTGCTTCCTTGTTTTAAAGTCCTTATGGATTAGGATAACAGGCCGGTCCTGCTTGTGTTCCCTCCTTCTAGAAGCAGCTGTTTGCGTATTTATTTATTTAGGATTCTAGATTTTAGCATGCAGACTTGGCACCGGTACCTTTAGAGTCCAAAGCGTCTCGATCTTTGTTCTCAGAAATGCAGGCATTGAGGTCGAGGCCCTGGAGAAGAGAGTCATCTCCAGTGTAGTGTTGGAGGCAGGGGATCATGACACTCCCAACGACCATCTTCTCTACATCCTCAATGCAGGTCCCAGATTTGGCCTACTTCAGCTCAGGGTTAGCAAGGACGGATAGTCCTTTACATTATTACTTAAGGCTGGAATACACTACACAACTTAAAATCTGAACAGATTTTGAAGCACTAGGAATTACACACTTGCAGACTTTGTAAATGGTTACAGAGAAAAAATTGGGCGTCATAAACTAAATGACTGAGGATCACATACTACCAGACTTTCAAGTCACCCGAACAAAACAAACATTGTCATTGCTAGGAGACGGATGACAAATGAAAACTATAAGTGTTCTAAAATTGGCTCAAAAAATCAAACATGTTTGATATCCTTTGACTTAATGGAATCACATAATGGAATCATCAATAGGATCAAATCTGGGCAAAAGTCATGTAGTGTAATCCAGCCTTTAGTGTGACGTATTTTAAGAATATATGTAATAATATGATTTTCTGTGATTTCCTGCAGACAGAAGCTGGATGGATTGACCTGAGTCCAGGTCAGAATTTCACCCAGGAGGATGTGGAGATGAATCGCCTATGGTACACTCACACTACAGTTAGTGGTTTCAAAGGCCATGACAGGTTTCACTTTGTTCTCAGTGATGGAGAAAACACAACACCTCCACAGAGTTTCTTCATCTCTGTCCGCACTGTTCAAAAGGGTAAGTTTTATTTTGAACAAAATAAAATAACTATAAACCTAGCAGGAACTTGGCGTGGCTCAAAAACAGCACTTTTACATTTATTTTTCCTCCTTGAAGCACCAGGGTTATGAAGTTTGGCAGCTGCAATGACATATTATGACCATTCAAAATTTGTCCAATGACATTATAGCACTGGCATAGTGACAAGTCAAATTGCATTTAGTGACTCAGTGATCGCTGCTTTTGTTTTTCCCTCAGTCAAAGTCCAAGAAAAACAATTTTGACAGATTAAATCTGTGCATTTATAATTAAAAACAATGGCTTTCCCTATGGCCAAAATGACTTTGCCAGTTGGGTGAACATGGAAGCATGGCAGCCATTGTCCTCTTGGCTTCATTCTGGCTTATCCTGGAGGAAAAGAGGTGAGAACGTTCTGCTGCAAAGGATGAGCCACCTCTAAACGCCCAGCATGAATTATTAACAGAGCTAGGGCCAAACATCTGTAGTCCCGGCCCTAGATCCCAGCGCTGTCCCTGCTGTCACAAACAAATCTCATACAACATCAATAAGCTTACTTGCACATAACTTGCTTTATAAGTAACATGTTTACATTCTTCAAAGCTTTACATATACTCATGTATATGCCTCTGTAATCCAACTGACCTTCTTGCCGCATACAGGTGAAATCGCTCTAATCACTAAACCTGTGACCTTGATTGAGGGAGAGCGAGTCATTCTGACCACTGACATTCTGATGGCCACAGACAGTGGAAGCGAGCCAGATGAGCTCATATACACTGTATCAGTCCCACCTGAACATGGTCACCTACATATGGTCCAAAGTCCAGGGGTTCCAGTGCTTTCCTTCTCCCAGATGGATGTGGCTGCCAACCGGGTATGCTACACTCATGACAACAGCCGTTTTGCTGACCGTGATTCTTTCAGGTCAGTGGTTTTCATTGTTCTTTTTAGATTAAATAGACTTCATTTATACTCTATGGCAAAATGCACAGATGCCATTTTTGCTCCGGCCTGTTTAAATTCACTCAAGACAAATTCAACTGTTTTGACATGAGTACGCACGTCAAGGTGCACTACAATATATATATATATATATATATATATATATATATATATTTGAATTAATAATAAATAACATTACATAATATATATCATTATATACATTTGTGCAATTTAGTCTAGCCCACAGATGGCAACACTTCGGTATTTTTAATACAAGATTGAAAATTATGTACACAAGTAGCAAGAGACAGGCAAAATAAAAAGGATAATTTTTGCTTCGTTTGCATAGGTTTCCAGCCAATTTGGCAGCAGGCTGACTTCAGTCAGGGCGTACAGTTGACCTGTGCTGCCTTTCTCGTCTGAATCTTTGACACCCAAAACTCTGGCTTGGTTTCATCGTTGGGTCATCTGGGAGCAAACAAACCTTCCTGAGCCAAGCCTGACGAGGGGCGAGTGGCCCTTCGGAGAGAGTACGGAGTATTCTGTGCCAATGTGTTCAGTCAGCACAGCATGGGGTGGTATGGGGTCCAATCAAAGCACATGGACACTACAGTGTTAGTCATGTGGAGCCTGAGTATTTTCAATTAGCAATTCCGACGCAATCACAAGAGATTGGGGGAAAACTTGGTTATAATATCTAATGGATTCATTATTTGAAACCGTTTTTGTGTCTTCATAGCTTGTATTTGTGTTAATACACGGCAAAAGAGGCAACTTGCGACAGCCAATCTCCCTGATCGGGAGAGACACCTGAGCAAACACCTGTGTGTCAAACTCCAGTCCAACAGTGGGGGCCAAAAGAGACAGGGAGACTATTTTTTCTAGGAGCCTTGTGTCTCCCTCTGCTCTGCTGTGACAGCTGATGATAAATGGCCATTATTAAGAGAGTAATAACTCAGCCTGGCATTGGTTATACGGCTCTAAGAGATGTAGTCAGAGACAGGGATCCCTGGGCACAATTACCGAGCAAATATGGCACAATGGCAATGCCAGATGTTGCACCAGTTTGGCTGTGAGAGTGGACCTGCGTGTTTGGTTGCGAGTCTAGTGCGAGGTGGCAGTCGTGTTGTTTACCATGGCTGGCAATTATCAGCTTCAGGGCAATATGTGTTGGGAGGCAGATTGGCTTGGCAGAGGGTAGAATGGGGACTCGCACCCCTCCCTGTCCCATCTTTCTGCTCCAACGCATCAACGGTGTTGGGTGAGGATAGCAGCTCAGAACATGCTGTAAAACTGACAAGACTTTAGTAAGGCATGAGGGGCCGTGTGTTACAGTGATTTTACAACATTTAAAAGGTGTGAGGCCAGAGTGAAAACTGCACTAAAAGCAATGCGATAAAAGATCAATGAAATAATGAAATACAAGATAAATAAAATTTGTTAATAAAAATACTTTATTGTTATTAATAATAAAAAATAGTGATAGTAATATACCCACAAAAAAACTATCAATACTATTGTTGCCAAGTAATTTTCATAATACAGTATTTACTTGATGTGTTCACAGGTTCACTGATGTGCATATGTCAGAAGTTTTTCTACCGCTTCAAACAAGGCAGTGAACAGTGTTCACATATAACAGCAGTCCAACCAAATTCTTCCCATAATCTCTTCTGACACAAAATGTTCTCTCATGCAGCTTTGCCGTTACCAACGGTGTAACGTCCAGAAGAGGTACCATTCATTTCACTTGGGAACACAGTGACCGCATACCACCAACCCTGACTATCAACAAAGGCCTTGAGCTCACAGAGGGCTCAATGAAGACCATTTCCACTGATGACCTGAAACTGACTGATCCAGACACAGCTCTGGAGAATCTCACCTACATCGTTATTCAAAGCCCACAATATGGAAAGTTGCTCTTGAAAAGATTACCCATCTCTAAGCCTCGTTTCACGCAACTGGACATCAACAACATGGATCTAGCTTACCATCATCTGAATGGACGGGCCAAGATCGACAGGTTCACCTTTCAGCCTACTGATGGAACTAACACAGGTTATCTGGAGTACGGACAGCTGAAGAGAGAACCTGCTCTTTTTACCATACAGGTAGGCTGATTATGATTTGAGAACATTCCCCCACAACCAATATAAAGTGGGAAATATTCTAAAATGTAAGTAGATACATTTACAAGTACAACATGCCTACAAAATTACTAATTTATACACTGATTTGAACTACAACCCCTTACAAAAATGTAACTTGGTACTTCAAAATACCATAGTGATTGCAGGTGGCATTAGGGGGAGGGGCATTCTCATTGGAGAGAGCACCTGATTGGACAAAGATATGTGTAGTGCAGGATGAGTCTTCTATATTTTTAGTCCATTTTACTTGACAAAAAACAAAACACACACACAAAAAAACAGTAATTTTAAATGTATATATCTCATGAAGGTGAATTCAGTTAGCGTTTAGGAGTTCAGTAGCACATCAATAACCTCAAAGCAAACACATATTGACTAAAACACACAAAATTGTATTACATCGATTTCTAAACGAATTAGATAACTAATGTGATAACGATATGGCACGGCTTACCATACAATTTCTGTCAGGACTTTTCTGAGGAAAAATAATTTAACATAACTGTCAAATAAACGACTTGCATACAAACCACTGAGCACAGCAGGACAGCTACGGGTTAACAAAGCGCTCCCGGTTGAATTGCATGTTAACGAAGAGCCTTTGCTGGCCAGGTGCTCCTGCAGGTCCGGTGCCATTCACCATGTCATAGCGTCGCTCTCTCGAGGCCCGCGCCACCATTTAATATTCCGTTGACGCGGTCAGCGAAGCAGCAAACGCGCTGGCCAGCACTACCAGCCCTGTGCTACTGAGAGAGAAGGCCTCTCCCGCCAGAACCGGTGAATCAGCCGAAAACTTTGTTTGCGCCCCGCGAGAGCGTGCACACCGTCACTTGGCTGAAGATGCGCATTGCTAACTTGAGCCAAAATGTGTTTTTGATAGCAGTGGTTTGGAAACCCTCTCTATTATTTAAAAATTTCTAAACAAAAATTTCATCATTGTCATATATATTTTATTAAAATGTATCCTTTTTTTTTGTTAACAAGTGAACACATGGTGGGCTTTAAATTAATATTTTAATTGTCTCAAAAAAGGGTATTTTTATGAATATCAGAACTGTCATTTTTATTGGGGCAAGTTGTCACATGTGGTTAAATGTTATAAATGTATGCAATTTATTAATTAGAATATGTGTGGGCATAAACATTGGCTTTATAGTGTGCAGCTATGTTTTCTTATTCTTTCTTAAATCATTATTTTGCTGTTTAAATTCAGCTGAAGAGCTTATAAAAAGGTGGGGTCTTTTTTCCTGAAAATGATGGTAAAGAAATTAAATTTATAAGTACATTTAAAATTAACCTGAGAAATATTAATTGGAGTGTTATATGTATACTCTATTTAATTTATAATAACATTATTATTATTATTTTTTTAATAAAACGATTTTTAAATAAGTATAATAACAAAAAAATTTATTAAATAAGCTATGTATTTACGTTTAATAACCAAGGAAAGATTAGGGAAAAGGCAAATTCACTTGAATAAGATTTAAACTACAGTGATTTGACTTAAAAAATAAACCTGAGAAATATTTATTGTAGTGAAAAGTGACAACTAGTTTTCCCTAAATAATGTATATTTATTATATTTATAATAATATTTCTTCTTAAAATAAAATTTAAAGGTTCTCATCGTCAAGGCACTTGATTCTTTTTTTATGAATCTCACTTAAAAATTAGATTTTTATTTTTTTTTTCATTTTGAAACGTTCTAATACTGTTAATAAAATAAAATAATTTGAATAATATATAACAAAAATATTGAAATTTGATATATAGATTTAATCCACAATGAGCAATGGCTATGAAATAATGCTTTCCCAGTTATGGTATGTAATGCTTCCCTCTAGTGGTATTACAGCATGAATGCAGTTTTACTGTTCATCATTTATATCTTCACAGATAGAGATATTGGACAAGATTCCACCCAGTGTTATAAACAAAGGGATTCCAAGTACTGTGGAGAATCTTCTGAATGGCAAACAGGGCATCTACATCACCTCCAAAGAGCTGCGCGCCTCAGATCCAGACAGTCCTGACGACACACTGGAGTTCACCATCACAAGGCCTCCACACTTCGGTTACCTTGAAAATGCCCTCACAGGCAGGTGCATGGGTCACCGATGGTCCAGACTGTCATATGCACAGATTGTGACCAGATTATAATGAATTTTCTTTCTATTATAGGTGCCTTTATCAAAGGACGCTTTACCCAGAAGGATCTGGAGCAGAAAGCAGTGCGCTATGTCATACCTGCAGACGTGGAAGTGACAGCGGACAGCTTTGAGTTCCAAGTCACAGATCCTGCAGGAAACACCATGCTGCCTGAAGTGTATTTATCCTCTTCTGTTGATCATTTGTTTAGATTTCAGTACAGAACTTTCATTAGTATGTGCAGTTATTGAATGTTAAAGGTGCATATACAACTTCATCAATTGAAAATATAAAGGAATGAATAGGACTATTTCTTCATTTCTAAAATTAGAAAAAGTTATTTTAATTTACAGTGGCTGCCATTTTGAGAATAATCAGCTAAAAAATTATGCACTTAGTTTCAGTAACCCAGGTAGTATTATCACACACTTTTGGCTGGAAAATGAATTGCTCAAGGGTGACTAATATGTCTGCAAATTTCTGACAGCATTGGCAACCTAAAAATGTTATCCACACCAGCAGGTGTCAGTACAAGTCCAAGATCACTTGAAATAGTCACAAAAATGAAACATGAAACTGCTAATGATTTTACCTAATGGCTTACTGAATGTGATTTTATAATAAGTAATAATTATATGTATATACACACATTTTTATAAAATATTAAATGAATGATATATGATATTTAATATTAAATATAATTAAATACATCGTAAAATAATACAAACAAATATATAAAAAATTATATTTAATATATATCAAAATAAAAATGACAATACAGAGAAATATTCCATTATATCAAATTATATTAATATTTTAATATTTCCAACTTATTAATTATATAATACTATGCATTTATATATTAATACAATATTATTGTTTTTCTATCAATTTCAGTAAGTCATTTGGATTTGGTAAAATGATTAACTGTTTCATAAAATATAAATCATAAATATATAAAATAATACAAAATAATAATGCATTACAAAGTATACATTATAATATAGAGAAATATTTAATTACCTTTTGGCCTTGAATATGTACTATATGTATATCTATCTCTGCACACACGCATGCACACAAATACATTAAAGGCCTGGAGATAATTAAATATTTCTTTCTTCTTATATATCATTTTAATAGCTATATATGTCTTAAAATCAAGAATTCAGTGAGTCATTTGGTTAAAATGGATCTGCATTTTTATCAAATATAAATCATAAATATATACAGTAATACAATAATATAAACAATATAAAGATAATAATAAAATATATAAATATCTTAAAATAAAAATATAAACACAGCGAATACAGAGAAATATTCCATTGCCTCTAGTAATAAACATTATTTTTTTATTATTCGCACTTTGGTGCGAGTAAGACAGTTGACAGCTTGTATTCCACATTTCCAAATATGACAATTCTAGACAATATAATTTCAGACCCAATGTGATTCTTGGCTTTTTCGACTGCCAACACAGGATGGAGTTCAGGTGGTCTCGTGTGGAGCTGTCTGCTTCCTGTTATCGTGTTTGTGAGAACGCAGGAACTCTAGCTGTGCAGGTGGTGCGCAGTGGGAACAGCAAAGATCCGGCGTACATCGGCATACAGGTGCAGTTAACTATCTTAGCTCATTTTACTATCATGCATAGATGAAGTTTTAGATGATTGGATGATTGCATCTTACAGGTGGAAGAAGGAACAGCCAAAGTGGGGAAAGATTTCACTCACAGTTCTGCCAACCTTATACAGTTTGATCCAGGTGGTTATCGCTTTTTCGATTTACTTTTTAATTCTTTATCTTTAGAATATGCTCAATCTGTGGTCTATCTTTGTTTTTAGGTGTAAATGTCAAAATGTTGAACATTTACCTCAAAGATGACGGACTAGAAGAGAACCATGAGAAATTTGATGTGGTTCTGAAGACCCCAAAAAAATGCTGTTTTGGGACAGAGGAACAAGGCCACAGTTGAGATTGTGGATCCGAGAAATGGTGGAAAGAAGTCTTCTGCAAAAATCTTGTAGTTTTACATACCCACATTCTGCTCTTTCTATATAAACTGAAAATATTTCCGTCTTCCAGGTTGGTGTAATCCAGATGAGTTTATTGTTGAAGAAGATGAAAAGAAACATCCTTTCCAAAACCCACCACGCATCCCAGAACCTGAACCACCTCTACTTGAGGAATACACTCCAGACCCAAGGAGCGGAGTCCTTTGGGAGAACTATCCACCAAGAGGGGACGTCCCATATCGCACACATTTCAGCCATTACAGCGAGGGAGAACATCAGGACCAGGAGGCCTTTCACAGTCCGGGCCAAAGACAGTTGAGGTTCCTGGGTAGAAACGGGCACCGAGTGAGTCAGGTCACCTCAGCTACAACATTTACTTTGTATAATGTATCTAGTATGGTATATAAAAAAATAACATTAGTAGTAGTAGTTAATCTTAACTTATCTGATTTTGTTTTTAGGCACATCTGTCAGAGGTGGACACGAGAATTCAAGAAAGAGTTTATAGAGTACGTTTTATTTATTGTTCTGCCAACTTTTTTGCTTAATTTCAGAGTGTTCATTAAGGTTTATTTATTTATTTAGTAGTAGTATAGTACTTTATTCATTCATTCGTGTTATTTAGTTAATTTGTTTGTCGAGTTAATTATTTGGGTATTTTTTTTGGTTGCCTTTACTTGTTTGGTTGGTTGCCTCATTTATTTGTTAATGTTATTTTTTTATTTGTTAGTGTTATTTATTTAATGTTAGTGTTATTTCTTTCTTTCTTTATTTATTAGTATTCATTTGTTTGTTGTAGCATTTAGTTTATTAGTAATATTTGTTGTATTCATTTATTTGTATTTATTCGTTTTTTGTTGATTTATTCCTTAGTATTTATTGATTGCAATATTATTTATTTATGTAGTAGTAGTATTTGTTTGTTGGTTGATTGTAGTCCTATTTCTTTAATAGTAGGGGTATTATATTTATCTATTTATTTAGTCGTATTATTTGTTTATTAGTAAAAGATAAACATTAGTATTAGAAATATTTATTTAGTAGTGTTTTTTATTTAGTATTCATTTTGTTTATTTGTTTGTGGGTGTATATTTTTTTATTTAGTGGTATTATCTTTATTTAGATGTACTATTTATACTACTATTAATTAATTATTTTATTAATTTTTTAGTGTTATTTATTTAATTTAACTATTTATGTGTTTCTTATTCATTTTTTAGTATTTATTTATTAGTTATTAATCATTTATTTATTGATTTTTATTTATTAGTTTCGGTGATAAGCATATTTATTCAGAATTATTATTTATTTATTCATTTATTTAGTTAGTTAGTTATTTTTCCATTATTATACATCTGCTGTGTGTGTGGTCACTCTGTCATCCATTAGTTTCATGGACTGATCCCAGTGAGAGTGGAGGAGAAGGCACCAGCACCTCGTGTCCACTCTGAACTGGAGATCACTCCCATCTGGACCTGGCCTGGATATTCTGCTGAATCAGTAGAAACTCCCCAGCACGACTCAGCCTCTTTTGTAATTAATTCAGGAGTGCAACAACACAAGGTATAATTTCTTAGCCCCACACTGTGAATTAGCTGTTGTGTATGTATAGATCAAAAAGAGAACATCTAAGCTTCCTTTATACTTTCTCAAATGTTTGTTTATAATGTAATGAGCTTTCATTTTATAATTCTTTCCTTTCTTTTTAAAGTCTCAGAAGTCTGTTAGTATTGGTTGTCCTAATGGCTGGACTCACTACCGGAGGAACTGCTATATTTTGGGGCCTGGTAGTGCTAGCTGGAGCAGCGCACAACATGCTTGCATGCTGTACGTTACACATCTTTGCTGTCAGAGGAACATGTATATGCATGCATTGAGACTACATACCTTCTAAATATTCATGTTATTACTCCAAAATTTAGGCTTGAAAGTGAACTGGCCAGTATCCACTCAAAGACTGATATGAAGTGGATGTGGAAGTTTGCTGGAAAGCAATCATTCTGGATCGGTAAGCAAATAAGATCCTGTACATTTTTGGGATCACCAGAACACTGAATGTAAACTGTCCCGTGTGTAAGAATATTGGTGTGATTTGTGCAGGACTCTCTGGCGGTCCAAAGCAGTGGTCCTGGACAGATGGAAAACCACTGACGTTCTCCAAACTCCGGAAGGGTCACGAGGTGCACACTAGCTCTGATGCCAGCTGTGTTTTAGCTCAGAGCCAGAAGATATGGATTCCTAAAAGTTGCATTGATGGATCCGAACACAGATATGTTTGTTCAGCACCTGCACAAATCAGTTAAACCAGATATTTAATTTATAATGGTCATGATTCAAAATACATTGTAGTCTTTCGAAGTGCTGAATCATTATATTTCAGCTCACAATGACATGCTTTCTTGGGTTATTAAAATAAATACAATTGATAAATATCAAATAAAAGTGATAACAAAAAAGGGTTACATTTACTGAGTTGTTTATTTGTGCACTGTATACATGCTTTTAAAAACTGACTATGGTGAAGTAGGAAACTGTTTTCACCAAAAGAGACTAACATTAAACCTGCGATAAGTTTTTTAAAAATGTATATTTAGTGTATATACTCTTTTATATAGAGAGAGAGAGAGAGAGAGAACATTTCTGTCATCTGTTTATCTATCTATCTAATTATTTATGCCAGGTTTTATATTTTCTATATCATCTCGAAGGCAATGACATTTCATTTCTGAGTGACATTTCTGAGAGCCTACATTTTTAGTGTAGGAACCAATATATGTTGTGCCTATATTAAACTTGGTTCCGTCCGGACACTCATAGATGTGGGACGGGGAAAAGATGGCGGCGGCCTTGGTACAAATGTCATGTTTGTACCGTGGGATGTTGGCGGTCAGGGCCACTGGCATCCGACCGCTGATTCCAGGACTCGTGCAATCTCATTTCAGGGCGTTTTCGATGAAGAAAGAACCGGAGCTGGAGGAAAATCCGTATTATGGTAAATATGAAGAAAAGATCCGGAAACTGCGGAGGTGAGCAGCTGTCAAATGCTAATATGTCGTTTCTGTGTATTCATATTAATCGCGTGTGTAATACTGTAACATCAGTTCAAAACCTCAAGAATATGAAGTCCGGCTGGAGAAGCGCAGTGAGGTGAAGACGGAGCCGCTCGGACGGTCCAGACAAGCAGAATTCGTGCAGTACATGGAGAAAGAGGTGATGAGCACATCTTGCGTTTGATTTTCATTTTTCATTTCTAAATGTACCTTCGTGGTCTGCTAGATTGTTGTTGCCTACTTGTAAATAACGTGTTATTTTTTTTAAATATTTTATTATGTTTGATTTAAATTGTATTTATTGTATTTTGTATTATTAAATTGTATTTTTTATTATTTTAATATATCGTTTAACATTATAAACCATACAATATTGTTTAATAAATGTAATATATAATCTATAATATAATCTAATGTGTAATAAGACGTATCATTTGCTCATGTTGTTGTATTTGTAGCTGGACAAACGTGGTAAAGCAGGAGCTGGGGGCTTCACCAAAGATAAGGTAAGCTAATAGTTACTTCATTAGTATTTAAATGGTAAATTAGAGATTTATAGTTTGTCGTTTGCATCTTTTGCTTTTTTTCTTATTTTATAGACATTAGGGTCTATTCTCAACCTTGATATGGTTCAGGAGAAATCTGGATCTGAAATTGTAGAGGTAAGAGCAAGAATGTTAATAAAAGAACACATTTGTACAGTCTTAGCATGCAGATAGACTGTACTGAAAAAAAAAAGTTCAAATATTAAATGGAGTACCACACCAAATGCTAGGGCTGCACAATTAATCGAATTTCTAATCGCGATTAAAATGACAGATGCCACAATTACGTAATCGTTCGTAACAATTACGTAAAAGTCAAGGGTTATCTTAAGGGTTTTTCATTGGAAGAAACCAATCCCGATGTATATTTGACATTTGAGGCTTAAGCAATACAAGTTTTTCAGTCTGAGTGTTTTCAGCTTGTTTATTTTCATATAAAAATATGGCATGCAGTTGCTTCAAACAATGGTATAAACATCCTTCAATGTAAATTGTGATAATCGTAATTAATAACAATTTCAAGGGAATAACCGACAATTATGATCTTTGTCATAATCGTGCGGCCGTACCAAATGCCTACTTTTCTGTGTGCAGCTGTGGATGCAGTACTTCTCAAAGAAAGACACAATCAGTGCTGTCATACCAGTGAGTTCTGTTTTATATATCAGTCTATTAACTCCTGTAATAACAAAGTAATACATTCTTAACAATCCTGTCAAATATTCAATATACTCTTTAACTTAATATTTACTGCTTTTTATTTCAAAGCAGTTCAATTTATTGTGACGAGTAGTTAAATTTAAGATCATCAGATCTGTGGTTTTACCAGAGATAAATGACCTTGTAATTCTCTGTCATAGGGCTCAACATTTGACATAATTTTTGGTCGTGCCAAATCTTGCCCAATGGTAAGTATGTGTTTTTTAAATTGTCAAGCATCATACCATCTAATAACCCTGCAAAATGCTAAATGTCCACTTAGTGGTAATATATCTATTCAAGAGCATCTTTCATCAGTCTAATCATGATGAGGAGTTTGTCTTTTGAATATCTTATTCATAGGCTATCTGTGGCCTCTGATGTTCTGTAAAACGTAACAGTAAGGTTGGGAACCAAGAAAAATACTGTAAAATATGATAAAGTTGTTATGTGCTTATTCTTCTTAATTATACAATGCACTAATTATTTAGTGGCTCCATAATACTTCTAATGAATCTATAGCATGAAACAGTAACTCACTCATAGTTTGAGTCCCGAATGAATCAGTTTAGTAAGTCGGTTCTTTTTAGTGAGTCAAATATACAGCACAACTAGTGTAGATCAATTTCTGAATGAATGACTATTATAAGCCGGTTCTTTTTAGGGAAATAAAAAACCTGAAGCGCAACTAGTGTCATTTGATCCCAACGACTCTTTTGAGCTAATTTTTTTTAGTGAATCAAATACTTAAAGCGCGATTCTTTTGTCAATCAAATACAATAATATTAGTGAGGTCCAATTCCCCAACAAATCACTGTAATGAATCAAATATACAGCACAACCAGCATAGTCCAATTCCTGAATGAATCATTGTAACGAGTAACATTATTTTTAGTGAATCAAATATTCAGTTCAACCAGTGTAGTTTGATTCCTGAACAAATCACTTTAATGAGTTGAGTTGTTTTTACGATTCTCATCCTTGCGTACCTGCATGTACATTACCAGAAAGTGAAATTCAGTATAAATTTGATCTTTGTACTAATGATATATATTATAATCTATGATAATAGATATATAATATATGATAATGTATCCTTTGCACAGTTTCTGTACGCTCTGCCCCAGAAGGAGGGCTATGAGTTTTTTGTCGGCCAGTGGGCAGGTCATGAACTGCACTTCACATCTTTAATCAATGTTCAGGTATTTTCTTTTTCTTTTCTTTTTTTAAATTTAATTTAAATTCCACACTGTCTGTTGGCATAGTTACTGAAATTGATTTGTATTTCAGACAATGGGAGAAAACGCACCCAGCCAGCTTATTTTATACCACTATACAGACCTGCAGAAGGACAAAGGCATCGTGCTGATGACTGCTGAGATAGATAGTAAATTTGTGGTAAGTTAAATAAAGGTACTAAGTAAAACACAGCAATCTGTTGCATTTTTAATTCATTTTTTTAAACCTCTTTCAGACTGTCCACCAGGCACAGTGCTTGGCCAATCAGGTGCAGCTCTTTTATGGATCGCAGCGGCTTGAGACTTTCCGATTGGTCGAGACCTTCAACCACCAACCGGCAGAGTTTAAACACATGTCTGTGATAGCAGAACTCGAACAAAGTGATATTGGACCAGCAGTCACTACAAAGTAATCCAAAGGCAATAAATATGGTGTTGCCTAATGTGTACTGTCGCTTTGGAAAAGCAGCGCTCTGTAACTTTGTATGGAGGCCTGTGAGAGTCTCTGCAGCCAGATGAGAAGATAATGTGTTGCCTTTCAATAGATATGTGTTAAATAATCTCAAAATAGATATCATATCACATATGAAAACAGATACATTCATTAGATTAGCAGATTCAGTTCTCATTTGACTCCCAGTAAATGTACTCATTAGCATTTGGCACGAAATGCAGTACTAGTGTGATTGTATGATAATTTTGTGCTTTGAAATGGAAAAAGGAAGCTTTTTATTTGGATAGAAATGCCATAGATATGTTTCCCACAAAATAAGTCGTCCACTTCATGCAAAAATTCTGCACTTAATTCTTCCTTATGTATAGTATTACTTCAAATTATCGAACTTCGATAACAATTAAGTTGTTCAAGCCTGTTTACTAAAAAATACAGGCGTCTTTCCTCATTCTTTATTGAGATAAACACACCTGTAGCCTGGTGAGTGAGATCCATAAATAGACTTATCTGAAATACCCTGAGGACCCAATGTTCTTGTATGTCCTTTGGGGTGCTATTCATAATAAAGCCTCACATTTTGGTGTGGTATTTATGTACCTAGTTCTGTATTTTGTATTAAAATTGGAAAACAAAATATAAAAGTGACATGCAAATAATGCTTGAGAATTTCTCAAAACCAACTTCACTTTTCTGAGTCTTTTTACTGATGACATGTAACCAACTGACCTCGTTTTTAGTTGATTCCTAAAGCTCGCCAGAATATTTCAAAAACTTTTTAGAAATGGCGCACAAAGGCCGTGCTATATTGTCGAAATTATGTTTCAGCACGTTGTGCTTTTAAACGCCCTCTAAGCGTCTTTTAAGATTTTAAAATACAACTATAATTTATTAAGAATAAGAACAGATCATTTCTAAAAACAGGATTTTAATTCATGAATAGCGGCAAAGGCCGTACTGAGAGTTCTGCGCATTTTGGTGAAATTTCGCACCATGCGGTGCTCCGCGAATTTTCCCTGGCCAAATCCTTCCAAAAGGAATCTCGTTATTAACATCACATTATTGATCAAATACAATTCACATGAACGATCAGAGAATGAAAGGATTTATTTATTTTATTATTATTATTTTGCCCGCAAAGCTTCGCTAGTGTGAGTGACTTTACGTTTATACGACAACGAAGTGCTAAAACATAAGAAAAATTCCGGTAACACTTTACAATAAGGTTCCATTAGTTAATGTTAATGTATTAACTAACATGAACAATACATTTATTACAGTATTTATTCATCTTTGTTAATGTTAGTTAATGAAAATACAGTTGTTCATTGTTGTGATTCTGCTTTAGTAATTTCAGATAAGAATGTTGGTAGGATACAAGTGCATTTAGGTAAGGAGCTTTGTAAGGTAAGAGACTGGCTCTCTGAAAACAAACTGATGTTGCATTTAGGTAAAACAGAATCCATATTATTTGGGTCTAAAAATAATTTGAATAAGGTTTCTAAGATGTCTGTTAAGGTCGGGGATTGTTTAATATCAAATAGAACTTCTGTTAATTATCTTGGATGTGTCCTTGACAACGATTTAAGTGGTGTAAGTATGGCTATGAAGGTTCTGGGTAAGGTTAATGCTAGGACAAAATTTCTTGCCAGACATGTTAGTTTCCTTGATAAACAGATTATAAAATTACTTGCATCATGTTTAGTGTCATGTCATTTCGAATATGCATGTATTTCTTGGATGTCTGATTTGTCTTGTGGTTGGTTGGATAAGTTACAAAAATCTCAGAATAAATTGATAAGGTTAGTTTTAGGGTTTAGTCGTTTTACACATGTGGAGGTTTCCCACTTTAAGTGTCTTGATTGGTTACCTATAGTAAGCAGATTCGAACATATTAAATTAAAAATGGTACATAAGATTATCAATAACAGAGATTATAATAACATTATAAAACTAGGCAAAGTCTCATGGATATTACATTATGTTGTTTTAAAACTATTTATGGTCGTAGGTCTTTTAGATATTCTGGGGCACTTTTGTGGGATAAGTTACCTCTGGACATTAAAGGTATTTCGAATATGGTTAGTTTTAGTTTAAAAGCTAAAAGTTTGTTCTTAAGTAGGTTGTTTTGTTGATGAATTTGTATTACGTACGTGGT